TCAAGCTTTCCAACTTTTTTAGCACTTCATCCCCTATTAATGGAACAGGAGCAACTCTCTGTTCCACAGTGCCATCAAAAAGTTGCGCTTGAAAATGAAAATTATGGGTTGCATCCAGCCATCAACGATGGCCCATATAACAAAATTTCTTTCCATTCGCTAACCACATGGAACAAGTTGATTCTCCACAACATGGACATGCAAACCAACCTTGAGTGCTTTGCCTAGACAACATGGAAAGGCCAGGAAAGTCACTAATAGTCCAAAGTAAGGCCGCTTGTATTTTAAAAGTTCCCTTAGAAGTTGCATCATAGGTATCAACACTATCCCATAGCTTTAACTCCTCCACTAATGGCTGCAAATAAACATCAATATCATTCCCAGGACCCTTTGGCCCTGGAATTATCATAGACAAAATGAATGATGTCTGTTTCATGCGAAGCCATGTTGGTAAATTGTATGGGATGAGAACTACAGGCCATATGCTATAGACACTGCTTAAATGTTTAAATGGATTGAAACTGTCACTAGCTACACCAAGCCTAATATTATGGGCATCAGAGGAGAAATCCTTGTGTTGAGCATCAAATGACTTCCACAGTAAAGAATCTGCCGGGTGTCTCATTAAGCCGTCCTTTCTTCGACCCTCAAAATGCCACCTCATAGAAGAAGATGTTTTTGAAGACAAACATTCTTTGGAGCCTTGGGATAAGAGGAAAATAATGCAATATTTTTGCAGGTTTCTTTTTTTGCTTCCTCTCACTTCCCAATTCTTCAACTTGAGCATTCTCATCAACATTTGATGACCACCTTGAAGCCCCACACACATGACATGATTCTTGGTTCAAGAAGTCACCTCGAAAAATAGGATACAATCGTTTCGACAAGCATGAATCTTTTCATACCCAAGTCCAAAGGACTTTAGAAACTGTTTTACTGCATAAGCTGAGGCTGCGAGATTAATAGTAGGAAAAGCATCATTCAACAATTCCATGAGCATTGTGAAAGATTTGGTAGATCATCCATTCAAGCTCTTAATGTGGAAAAGGCAGATAATAAAGGACAAAATGGTAAAGTTCTTTGTTGGCATTCTCTACCAACTTTTGGAAGCTACTTTCTTTTGTGTTACTAACATTTTGTTGAGCATCGTCATTCAATTGCTCATCCACTAAATCTTCATCATCTGAAGGAAATTCATGGAATCCTAAAGCATCTTGTATTAGAGCTTGCATGTCATTGACTTCATTAACGTCATGGGGTTCTTGAGGGGGGGGTGGTGGGGTGTGATTCTAGTTGCACATCATAAGGGTGATTGGGAGAATATGATGTGGAAGACTCTCCATGACAATACCAAACATTGTACCCTTCAAGAAAACCGTCACAACTCACAAGACAAGTGCTCCTCTATAACATCAAAAGTTTGCAAACAAGAATTTAAGCATCGAGAGCACAGGCAATTAATTTGGTCCGTGTTAGGGAATTTTTCTTTTGCAAATTTGATAAAGGATCTAACACCAGCTTGATTTTCAACACTTAAAGGTGACTTAGATAACCAACTTCTATCCATTACGAAGTATAAGAAGAAAAATCTGAAATTTCCAAAAGAAAAACTTAGTTTGTCAATTAACCATGGTATCTCTTTGTATCAATATCATAATAAACAAGTATTAATAAACCTAAGAAAAAGTATGTTCAATTAAGGACCATTAACCATATTTGACTAAATCCAGAATGCATTAAAAGGATAGAAAAATTAACATAAATGCACTATAAAGATAGAAAAAAATAAATTAGAATATAGTAATCCATACCAGAAGAGTTATTTGATGCTTGGAAGAAAAAAGCAGCTTTAATCTCCAATACAGCTGAAAAAAAAAAAAGAGAGACAATTAATGCCAGAAGAGGATAGCTTGAAGAATTATATAACTATGATAAGTCAAACTTAGGTTAAACAGCATATTTTAGATATGATTGAAAAATCATTAAATTTATCAAGCCAAATAGAATAATTGCTATAACATATATTTATGAATTAACATTTTCTTCATACCAGGATCCAAACAAGGGATATACCAGACAGAGCTGCAGTTGGCTCTAGTATTAGAAAAATGTCACAAATACCACAGATTAATAAGTCTAATAACTCCATATGAGAAAATATGTTTGTTTTCTCATTTTCATTGCCTCATGTACATGAAGGCAACACAGGCCAAAATGAGGAAAAATGACAATCTTGGATATATGATAAATAAGATCATATCAAACAATTAGATTCGGAAGCAGTATGACTGCTAATTCCACTCCATGCGATGACCAGTGATATCAACAAGCAAATAAATTTGAATTAAATACAAGATGTTTGATTGTTAGTGATCTTCAGATCATATTGATGATTACAAATGAGATATCATTAGTCCTTTCTTTAGGTGACAATTTATGATTAAGGCACAATTATCATGAAAAAAATGTCCATCATTAAAACAAGTACTAAAATAATAACTGGAAAATAGAAATGCTTGAAATAATGACTTGTCTAGTTCCTTCACTTAAGCATTCCTAAACACGTTTTGAACATTTTTAATTAGTCTTCCTTTCACAATCAAGATTTATCAATAAATTATAATCAAGCAGAAAGAATAAAAATAAAAAAATATATTTTATTTTATGCTTATCATGTCAAAAAATATATATATTATATCTCCTTGTCCTCAAGATTCTCCAATTCCTTTTTCCTCAACGTACTCCAAGGTTCATGCATTTTTTTCCTAAAATCACTCTCCTTCCTTGAACTTTCTAATGAAAGCATCTACTCATTTCCACTACAATAACCAATGTCCTTTTCCCCACATGAGACACTCTGGTTGTACCTAGCTAGAAATTAAAATCATTGTAATGCTAAAGCTACTTTGGTTTTTTCCTGTCGTTGGAATTAGGGCATCAGCCACTCTGTTGATTGGCTGATGAGAAATATTGAGACTTGGTAGATGGGGCGTTGAATTGGTGTTGTGTTCACTTTGTAGCTAAAGCTACTTTGGTTTTTTCCTATCGTTGGAATCAGAGTATGAGCCACGTTGTTGATTGGTAGTAATGAGAAATAATAAGACTTGGTGGACGGGGTGTTAAATTGGTGCTGTGTTCACTTTGTAACTTAATAATGTTAATTTACATATATAAGTACAATTCATACAAAAACGTTACTTTCCATATACCTAATCGACAAATTAGTTTGAAAGCGTCTTTCTGCCATATTAGTATTATTTTAGGAGGACTGCTAAATGCAGTCGTCTTTTTCTGCACTCTCTTAACACTCTCATGTAA